TAACAATGCATCTGGAGCTTGACCCTATTCAGTCTTCACCGTCCATCCATTCCTGTTTATATATTTGCAAGATGATGATCGAAATATTTCCTGTTTATGTATTCTTTATATTACAGGAATAATAAAGTGAGAAGCAGAAGATGAAGAAGACAAAAATAAAGAAATTAAAAAATCATTCAAATTGGATGACCAAATAAAATGTGCTCCTAACAATAAGATAAAATTAATTTAGGACTGTTTACCTATAAATCAAACTATAAATTTATTATTTTAAAAATTTAAAAGCTGGAATGAAATTATTTAATTATCTAAATATTTAAAGGCGAGCATATCGTCATCCAAAATCTATAAAAAAATGATAAAAGAATTAGAATAGCAAAAATAAAACCCATAAAGCATAAAGGAGGTGATCAATAATAGCGAACTCTTTATAAAAAGCAATACTCCATTTGCTAATTCAAAAAAAAAAAAAAAAAAACTAATTCAAAAAAAAAAAAAAAAAAAGATGGAAAATAAATAATAAAAGGAAAAAGAATTTTTCCTTTGTTGTTTTTCATTTGTTTTAGCTCAATGGTCAATTTCTAATTCTCGGATTTTGATGATTAATACAAACAAATAAATTTAAAATTATATTATTTGTGCTAATATTTTTTTATGCAGGAATGTGTATGGAAAGAAAATCGTTACAATGGCTAAGGTCACCTACATTGAGTTGTGAAGATTTCGAAGGGATCCTAGTAGCTTAGGTATTTAGGAATACTTTGATTTTAGGATAGAGAGAAAATCCATATTTTGAGCACAAAAATTATTTGTTCTCTCAAAAATAATTTTTCCGGAAAATTAGATTTCTTTCAAAATAATTTCTTTTGTAAAAATATTTTATTTGAAATATTCTTTAAATCGAAATGATTATCCTAAAACTAAAAGAGATTTCTTCTTAATATTTTTTGGTAATTAAAATCATACACTTTTCGGAAAATATTATTTTTGAAAGACCTAAAGTACTTAAATTTATTTTCTTTACCTTAAAAACGAAGGAAAAATCTTTTTCGTTTTTAGTAAGAGCATCCTTTCCGTAAAAAAAATTATTTTCCAAATAATTGCTGCCCCGAAAATCTTTTGTTTGAAGGGAAAGCAAAATTATGTTTTATTCTCTTTTACCAAAAAGGATAAAAAATTAAATTTTTGTAACAAAGATTTTCATACTTCTAAATAAGAAAAAGAAGATATTCTGATTTCAAATGAAATATCCACTTTCCAAAAGCAAGGGACACGATGCTCTCTATAAATAGGAGCTTTCACGTCTTGAGCTACAGTGAAGTAAGAGTTTTCGTTTTAAGAGCATTTTCTCATTAATCAAATCTCTATCTCTCAAAACTTACTCTCTACCCCCATTTTTCTTTTCATCTCTACACTTAACGTTTTTAATCTTTAAAGTGAAAAGAATTTTTTACAATTACTTTTGAAAAACGATTCTGTGTTCTAATCGATCTTCTAATCTGATAAACTATTTTTCCTGTGCTTATATGTGTGCGTTTCTTTCTGTCTATTTAGATTCTGTAATCTATAGTAGACAGACTCTTTATCTGTTAAACTTTTTGTGTGTAATAGCTTAGGGTTAGAAGCTATTGAAGATAGAGGTTGTCAAGCGACCTTCTCCTGTGTGGAATTTTAATGTCTTAATTGAGTTTTCTGTTACTTCTACCAAAAACAGGAAAGGGGTGAGGTAACTGAACGTTTTAGAAAATCTAGTGAACAAAAAGGGTAGATCTAGGTGTTGATCTATTGCCTTGTCCTGTTGGTTTGTCTCTTTACCCTTTTAAAAGAGATAACATAGTGAGGGATCTCAAAAATGCGTCTTGGGGAGTGGATTTGTAGTGCGAGTTAGTGCAACCACTATAAATCTCTGTGTTAATCTTTTTTACTTATGAAGTTTGCTTGACACTGTCTTTATAACACTTTTGTTTAATTTTTAGAACGCTAAAATTGTTAATAATTCAGATGTTCTTAAAACGGTAAAAGTCTTATCTTTTCTGAAAAACATTTAGAACTCTGGTATTCTAATAGTGAATATACCATGTTTCTAACTGTTGTTCTATTCACAGTATATTTCATGAATTGGTTTCTAATTAATTTTTCTAACTTTATGAGGAAGTTCTAATCTTGGATTAGCTTTTCCATCATAAAAGTCATTTATATATTTTAATTAAGGCTTTGTGAAGAAGTTCTGAATTTAATAACATGTCTTTCACATAGCTTTTATATTGATTCTCAAACTTTATGAGGAAGTTCTAATTTCATAGCTTTCTTCATAAAGAAGCTCTGATAGATGTATAAATCAGTGTTGAAGCTTTCTAATCAATAGCTGCACTTCGCAACGGACTTTTTCTATCTTTTATAATTAGAAACATTGTTGAGGTTTATAATTAGAACATTGTGAGGTGATTCTAATCCATATTCTATTCTCACAAAGTTCTGTGTGTTTTCCGCTGCACTTAGAATTCTATACTTTATTTAGAATTTCTAAAATTTATATCAGTTTTTAGAAAACTCAATTCACCCTCCTCTTGGGTTGTGCCATACATATACGGGACTCACATTCATTTGCTTTTATATATAAGTACAAATCACCAGAAGGTGAAAGCGGCAAATTTCACCATCGTCTTCTTCATTTTTATTTTGCCGCTCAAAGAGTTTAAAATGTTCAAGAATCCAATACTTGCCTCAAACTGTTATTCTGCAGCTGATATACATGAGAGTAAATCAAATAACATAAAAGAAAATAAAAAAGTATATAAAAAGAAATTCAAATTATATATACCAAATTGAAAAGAAAGAATAAAAAAAACATGCTAAATTGAAAAAAAAAAATTGCTATTCAAATAAGAAATTAAAGAGATGCTCCTAAAGCATAAGAGAGCCATGAAAAGAATAAAAAAAAAAAACAGAAAGATGCCGCTAAAGCATAAAAAAACAGAAACGTGTATATATATATAATATATATATAAGTATATTATATATATATATATATATAAGAATAAAAATTGTTAATTCATTTAAATGTAATTATTTCTAGCTATAGTTAAATAATTTAAAATTTTCAAACTCACAATCATCTAAATATATTTACTAAAATAATTATAAATAAATTTTGATTTTAAAAATATATTTAACAACCTATCAAGTTGTAGAAAAATAAATTAAAATTTTAAAATTTTCTAAAAAAAAAAATTTAAAGTTGGATGGAGAAAGAGTGTTGAATTTTCTCTTTATTTCAACTTTTATATAGATATATAGATATACTAGTTTTCAAAAGTGGAGAAATGCCCCACAAGAATTATCTCTTCTTTATTCAATTTAATGGAATAGTATTTCTCTTCAAAAAAAAAAAAAAAAAAAAAAAAAAAAAAAAAAATCACTAAGACCCATTTGTTCTATCATTTACTCTAGACTATTTTTATTATACTTTTACATTTATTAATCTTTAGTATTTTTCACTATTAATAGTATAATAGAATTCTAAATTTCATATTACTTTATTTAATTAAGTTCCCATTCCTAAAAAATTTCAAATAATATAAAATATAAAATATTAATATTAATATTAATATTAATATTATTTTCTACCAAAAAATTTTGCTTAATTCAGTGGAATGTTTTCAATCTATGTATAAGAGCAGAAAAATTTATGAATTTAATTGGTAACACATAAACTTTAATTTCCAATATCATAAAATTGCTATAGGAGCTACTGGAATACGGTCACTGGTGTAGTATTACAAGCAAATAAACAAATTCATCATGAGAACAAATAAATATGTGATCATACATTTTTATTTTTTTTGAGAGAGAAAAATTTTAGTTAAGTAATTTAGGCTTACATGTAGGTTCCGTTTGTTTCCGTACAATAACTTACAGAAAAATATTTTTCATAATTTTCCGTTTTTTGAGGCATTCAGGAAAATAAGTCAATGGAAATATTTTCTTGATCAAAAGAAAATTAAGTAATTTTTTAAGGAAAATAATTTTTCATTTTTCAGAGAGTAAAACATTTTTCAAACATTGATAAACTTAATAAATTCATATTTTTTTAATTTATTAACCATTGTTGTCACTATCACCAGTCACCATTTACCATCGACCACCACAAGCGGCTTTCATAATATATATATATATATGTATTCTTCTCATATTTAACAATAAAATTATTAAATTATAAAATTATTATTATTATTATTTTATTATTAATTTTATAGTCTTATAAGATAAAAAAATTTAATTATAAAATTATTATTATTATTATTATTTATAGTCTTATAAGATAAAAAAATTTAATATTTTTAACTAATTTTAAATATTACAACCAAACAATAAAAAATAAGTCATTTGAAAAATATTTTTGAAGAAAAATTTTTGCAATAGAAAATATTTTTCAGTAAGTTATTTTCGAGTAAGTTATTTAACACAAACAAACGGAGCATTAATTATTTACTAATTTCAATTAAATAAAAAATTTATGGGGTAGTTAAATTTTCAAATCAAATTAGGTTCTCATTCGGATCACATTAGGATTTCGATTCACATTGAAATGGAACGAGAATTATCAATCGAAATTTTGATATTGATTTCAATTTTTCAAGTTCCATTTCAGTCCAAGTTCATATTTTACAATAAAATTTTACTCTTTTTTGTACATATAGTTTTATAGTATGAAATTAGTTTATAACTAGTAAAATGTAATGTAATTTAATTTTCAAAAAAAAAGTTATGTAATTTTATGAACTTTATAATATTTAATTTTTGAAAAAATGAAGAAATATTATTTATATTGAATATAAAATATAAATAAAATTTATTAAATTCATTTATTAGCTGGAATAAAATCCTAGGCCAAAAAATTGAATTTTGAATGAACAAAAAAGGAAGTAAGAAATGTATTTGGGCTATGCTTTAGGCCTATAAACGGAAAATAGTTCTTTAGCCCATCCAACTGAAACCAGCCCAAACCCGTTCCATTTTGCTTACGTTTTTTCCCTTCGAAATCTGAGGCCATTCATTTTGAAGCTTCTGCTCTCTCTCTCTCTCTCTCTCTCTCGATGGCTGATTCCCAAACCAAACGAACCTTAATTTTCACCTATGGAACTCTCAAACAGAATTTTCCAAATTACAGCCTCATCCAAGACTTGATCCTCCAGAACGACGCAGCCTATCTCGGCACCTACATTACACACCGCCCCTATCCGCTCGTTATTGGGCCCCACGGGATCCCATACTTGATTAACCTCCCGAGCAGCGACGGCAGCTACCGTGTCAAGGGCGAACTCTACTCCGTGTCGATCAAGGGGCTCGCCCTATTGGACGAGTTAGAAGGGACGAGAACTGGTCACTACGAGAGGCTTCCGATTCAGGTAACAAAGGCAGAAAGGGAAGGAGAAGGAAACGCTGTCGTTTTGGTGGAGGCAGAAGCGTATTATGCACATAAGAAATTTGGGGAGAGGCTCTGGGTTAGGAAAGGGAAAGTTGGGTTAAATGAGTATACAGACGCAAATAGTAAAGAGTACGTCAGAAAGGAAAATAGGCCTGATGGTGTTAGCTTCCTTGACGCTATAGAATTGTTTCTGTCTAATTCTTGAATTTGAAATTAAACGGGGTCGTTCCTCATTGGATGATTACAACAATAATGCAATAAGAACGAGGGAAGGTTTCAGAATTCAGATGCTGTTATGTTGTTCCTTTTCATTTATGTAATAATGAAGAACTAATTTCATAATTTTAGTTGTCTATGAGGTTCAGCGCCAGCATAAATTAGGATACTTGAGTTTGGATAAATTGTGTCCATATATATAGCTATCAACCCCCATGTTGTTGTAACTATTTATAAATGTTTGCTCAATTTTTATATTTTGAATTCCTTTTAATAATGAGTTTAATTTTATTAAAGTTTCGAAAAAATTTAATCATTAAAAAATAAATATTTAACTTTATTTACATTAAATATGAAGATGTTTTGTAATATATTGAATTTGTATTTTCAAGCTCTTTGATTTAATTTAAATGAAAATATAAAGTGTTCATATCATTGTTTTGAGAACCGAATTGGAGCGGTCGGTCCAACTGGTTTAATCGAAAGTCGGATCATGGTCTAGTCCGAAATTGAATATCTAAAACGGAGGGCTATAAAACCAGATAAGAACCCGTAAAAACTATTAACCGGATCCGTATGGACTATGGTTGGATAAAAAATTCAAATCAAAGACAAGAAAACTGCACGAAGAATCCTATTTCTTCACCAAAATTTTTCAAAAACATGATAATAAAAACCTGAAAATTGAAAAAAAAAAACAAAAGGAGAAAAAGGCTCAGACGGTTTAAGAATGGAATAGAGGATTCTTTTTATTTTTATAAATTAAAAAGATAGGAATAATAGAAAAACATGATTGCATATGAAATAGAGCAGTAAACGCAGCTGCTATTGCTATAAAGATACTAGGATTTTGCTTTACAGTATTCTTTTATGTTGAAGATGACAGTTATAATTACTAAAATGCCTTTCCTATTAAGCCCCCTAATAATAGCCCAATTTTAATTAGATTCGATCAATTGTAATTGATGAAACCAATAGTTACCGCCAATTGTAATTTAAAACTGTTTTTAGGTATCATTATTAAATCCAAACCAGTTTTACGAACTGAGAATATTTTAAAAAAGGACAAAAATCAATTTCAAATTTTTATTGTATCTCAAAATTATTTAGTATTTATTTTGTAAACCACCGGTGTCCAAATCTCAATTATGAGGGAGAATTATATATATATATATATATTTGTTAGGTTGGCTGAGGACAAAAATTGCAGCTTGAAGAAGTTTAGCCGGAAAACCTCCACAAATTTACTATTTTATTTTACAAAATTATGATATTGAATGAAAAAGAAAGCTCACTTAATGAAATAGGGAAAATTACAACATTAATAAGGCATATTTAAAAAATAATTTATGAATATCAAAAGGGACATGTTTCCGATGAATTAATTACACGTACCGCATTATTTATTGGCTAAAACTATAAAAATACTCTCAACTTTGGAACTTATTGCAAAATCATTATAATTCGACCTTTGTACCTTGGGCACTCCGATTTACAAATTTAAATATATTAGGGTTAGGATTTGAAATAAAATAATATAAATGTAGGACCCAAAATATAACCATAATTAACTTAAATCGATCTTCAAAACTACCCGTTTTGATTAAGCAAACAATCCTGCCGCTTTCTCTCTCCTAACTTCCATCGCCATCTTCTTTAACGTCCTCCATTGAAACTGCAGCTTCCTTGTCAAAGGAATCGGAAGATCTTAAGATCCCAGTATCATCAGAGAATGTTTTTGAAATGAGCAATAATCGGATTGGGAATTCGAAGCAATCTTCCCTGGGAAAAGGTTAGTCTTTTCATTAGTATATGCCAATAAATAAACAACGTTTTATGTTTCAGTTCCTAGAGTAGATTTAATATCGACTAGAAGTACAAGTAATCTTCTTTATTTTGTTTTGATATGAACAAAGGAAGGGGATATGATAAATTAAACTTCTATTTTAATATCCTCATCACATGATCTAGAATCTGAATATTCTGCAGAACCAAACTCTTATTAGCATGAACTTTAGGAATTAGAAAAAGATGGCACTAATTCATTGCAAGGAATTAAAGATGTCCTAGATGATAACGAGGAAGAGAGAGACGATGCATTTTCAATGGAGGACGCTGGAGGAGACGATGACGGAAGTTAGAAGAGAGAAAGCAGGAAGATTGTTTTCTTAATCAAAACGGGGAGTTTTGAGGATTGGGTTAAGTTAACTAAGGTTATATTGTGGGTCATACATTCATATTATTTTATTTCAAACATTAACGCTAATTTGAAAATAAGGTGCTAATTTGAAAATAAGGTGCTAATATAATTAAGCTTGTAAATCGGGGTGCTAAGGATACAAAAGTCGAATTAGAGTGATTTTTCAATAAGTGTCAAAGTTGAGGGTATTTTTATAAGTTTAGTCCCATTTAGTTTAATTAAGCTACTTTTATAGTTTATATAAGTAGTTTTTGGGTTTTTCACCTCAAAAGAAGTTCTACATCTTAAAGGATTTTAAATTGGTTAGATTGTTAAATGACATGATCTTTATTTGGTAAATTTTTTCATTTGGAAACTAATCCTAATTAAGAGTTTAAATTTCTTCATTTTGAAATCATCTTCAACTCTTAAAAATTAATTGTCTAATTTTTATTTTTTGAGGAAGAAGAAATTGTCTTATTTTTTATTAACTGTAGAATTTAAACATTAAAATTTTATTCTAAAAATACTCTTCAAATCCATGAATTTTAACTCCTAATCAAATGATGGAATTTATTTTGCACTTCATCAATTCAAATGAGCAGTTGCCAATAACGTTTGATTCTATTTTTTTCATGAGAAATCTTTTTTAAGTCTTCATTTTAATATTTTTTACTTCTACAATTTAGCAATTCTAATTTTTGTTATTTTTTTTAGAAGAAATCAAACTAAGAATTTCATTAAGAGAGAACTGTATACAGGTATAAAATATAGATTAATATGTTTTTATATTTTTTTATAGGAAGTCTAATAATAAACCACTTATACAAAGAACAAAGAAACACAATCTTGATTTGAAGTATCTGATCGAGTTGATAAAGTATAATATTTATATCATAGGGGATCGCTTGTTCCACTTGGTGGCTATTCATGGCCACTGTTCGACTCTATGGTCTTTCTACAAATCTGATCTAATTACCTCCGAATTTCTTCCTTCTATTAGAGATGAGATTTGCACTTCTTTCTGTATAATTATCCAAATAACAAAAGATGCTAGACAAAATCAATATAAAGGTGATAATAATAACTCAAAATTAGATTTAAGAATAAAATCTCAAAATATGGAGAATAATAAATCTCAATATTTGGGCGACAATAACTCAGATCTATATACACATCTGAGGATTATTTGTAAAAAAATAAAAAAAGAAAAAAGAAAAAGGGGTGACCACTAGTGAGAGCTCACCAGTGGCTGCTCGTGGAAGAAGAAAAAGAGCTTTTAGGTTGCCGCTAATCTCAATCGATTCATGAGTTTTTTTTTTTTTTTGATACGTAGGAGGCCCGATGGATCGAAATAATGCTATGGGCTACACTATAGGGAGCAGTACTCCCCTTTAAATAAGATTCACCAAATTGGTGATAACTTTTATGATGGAGAAAACTCGAATTCAGGACCTTTCACTGCTTACATCTTCTATAGGAGGTAGAAATATCAATCAGACCACACATGATTGGCAGTGTTACATAATTTAACATATTATTAGGGGATAAAATTACATATTAATAAAAGGCTTTAGTGTTTTATAGGGACATGGCAAATTGGCAAAGTACTCATGTTGTGTAATTAAAGTGGTTCAAATTCTATTGAAGTTCCTTCAAAAAAAAAAAAAATCCTATATAAAATAATTTATCCAAATCAAAGAATTTTAGTTTTCCCAATAAAAATGTTAAAAATAATAATGTTTTTTTTTCATTTATTTTTTTATTCATAAGAATGCCCAATGGACCCAAATAAAGTTATGAGCTATATAACAAGATAGTTCTTCCCATGATCACCAAAATGATAAAATATTAGGCCTGGCTTTATCTGTCCAAGTGCAAAATAATTGATAAGTACTTACTCATTTATGATTAGGTACTTAGCTAATTATTTTTGAGTCATTGTCTTATTATACATTCTAACATATGTAGATGAATGATTAGGTACTTGGCTCATTTATGTTTTATTATACATTGTTTTATTGGTCATTTATTTATTGGCTCAAGGTTATTACAATATTCTATTTTGATGATTAACAAAAATAATAAATTGAATGATTTGCTATGTAGATTGTGCTAAAGTCTTTTGCAGGAATTTTAATGGAGAAATTATCAAGTGAAGATTCAATTAATTCAATGGAAGATTAAGACTTAGGCATTCTTGAAGAATTAAAGATTTGATTAGTGTCTTTAGGTATCTTAGGATTATTTAGTATCTTGTTAAAATAGAAAGAAGATCTATGTCATATTAAGGCTATATAAAAATATCTTTTTTAGTTTTTCAACTACCTTTCCTAAAATATTTTATTTCCTTAAATAAATGTTTGAAAATCTTAAAGGGGATATTTTATTTCACAAATTGTATTTCAAAATTCAAAATTTTCAAATTGTGATCTTAAAGGATTTTTGAAGAAAATAATTCTTGATTTGAAATCTGCTTAGGGCATAACTTTCCAAATCTTTCCTTCTTTTCCCCAAAATCTATCGCCAACATTTTTTATTCATTTTTCTCTTCTTTGTAATGTTAACTTGCTTTTGTCCAACGGGAAAAAAATTATTTTCGAGTACAAAAAATGGCTTGGCAGAAATTTTCAAGTTATGAGAGTGAAAATTATTCTTCAGTTTTAGTTCTCAAACTTTCTTTGTACTTATTTTCATCATGTATTTTGAGAATGATTACAAATTTTTTTGGGTTTAATTTATTTATGGTGTTGAACTAATTTCTATTACTAGGGATTTGATGTAACTTAATTTGATCTTATTTATAATATTATTTTTTTATTTCCTTTGTTCATGATAAAGTTTATTATTGTACTTAATGCTTCCAAGCTGATTTTCTCATTTGGATTGATTTGTTCTAATTATTGCTATTGGGAGAAGGATTGTTGATAAAAAAAATGAAAATAATAAATTTCATGGGAATAATAACTTAATATGAGAGCTAAGGTTTGCTCATGGGAGGTTTTACATAAATAACCATTGATCTCACTCCCTTTGTTCTCTTACTTTAGAAAAAACAAAAAAAGCTCTATAATTAAGAAAGTAGTTAAACATAGATCTTTACCCATTATTTGCATATAATACCCTTAATCAGCTTTAAACACATAATTAATGCTAAGGAAGCCAACTTATTACTAGAGTATATCAAGGGTGCATTTATTAGCAAAATCTTTGAGAATTGCAAGAATCTTATCAACTTCAAATTCAGTAGATTTACATCATTTTCAAAAATAGGGCACTGGTAAGCAAAAAGTTGTCCTCAGTGATGATGAACTCATCTTCTTCACATGCTAAGTCCAGAAAGGACATCGAGTTTGTTTGCTATGATGAAAATTTGTGCCAATATAAGTAAGATGCAGTGTCGATTTAAAAGTAATATTTAAAGGTAGGATACAACAATACAAATTTGTGACCGTATTATAAAAACTTTCCAAGAAAAATAATCATATTCATGTCCATATATGTAAAGTTGAGCGCACTTTTATATAATGCGTATACACATAGTCTACGAAAGAATTTAAATTCAGTTTGTTCGATAAATTTTAAATTTGAGATTAATGAGGTGTAACATCAAGATAAAGACTTTTTTATAAGTAGGGTGCAACAATTAAAATGTGTGACCATATTAGGGTACCTGGCCGATGCAATACTCTTATTCGTGCTCAAATTTCTAAAGTTGAGCACATTTCTACTGAACTGCTCATAAACATAGCAATTATTCATGCTTTGGAAATATAAGCTTATTAATTGTCCAACCCACATTTTGTTTGCCACTATTCTTGTTAATTGAACCGAAATTGATAAGTAGTTAATTTAGCATAATATGTTGTTTATTTGAATATTATTTGCAGATATTTTTGCTTTAAAAATCAGAACTTTCACTAGGTTTTTATATTTTTCTTAGATTATGCTAAATTCATTCTGATCCGAGAGCACTACCAAAGTGTTTCAAAGAAAGGTTATCCTGACGTAGGTCTGCTTTTGGCTTAAATTAACCTAAGTTAAAGTTAAATGGAATCTGGAAATCCTAGACTCAGATGAGGAACTCACACTCGCTGTTGAAGTAAAGTCAGAAGTCAGTCTTGTTTGGTAAAACGGAATTGGACAAAGCAAAGAAAAGAGAGTGCTCGACCGGAACAACGGCCATTTCGGTTTATCTGGGACGTGGCAAAAAGTCTTAGACGGGTTCAACAGCCTGTTGACGCGTGTTTTTTATGCCCCGCCTGATCCAATGATGATACGAGGATGCAAAATGAATGGGTTAATGCCATCTAGAAGTCTTTTAATCGTATAAATTCCAAAACCAATTTTAAGTTTTTGGTTGGGTCAGTCGTTGTCAACCCAATGTCAGTCGTGGTCCCAACTGTCAGTCGTGTCACCCCACTGCCTGTCACCCCACTGCCAGTCGTGTCACCCAACTGTCAGTCGTGTCACCCAACTGTCAGTCGTGTCACCCCACTGCCAGTCGTGTCACCCAACTGCCTGTCGCGTCACCCCACTGCCAGTCGCGTCACGCGACTGTGAAAATGAGCTGCGTGATGCACCTACAGTAGCGTGACGCAGCTGTGTCCTGACCTACCCTATAAATACATCTCTTTCTCACAATTTTGACAGAAAAAAAACACAGAACAGAACAAAAAAAAGAGGAAGAACACGATTTTGAAACCCTAAAAAACACACTATAAAGAAACCACAATTAAATCCTTAAGGCTTCTGGAAATCTTAGCTTATCATTTGTTAATAGATTTGATTTCCATCTGCAAAAGCATTCAATCTTTTAATAGGATTAGGGTAAATTTCTTTAAACATTCTTGTATTTTTTTTTTTTAAATTTTTTGTGATAGTAATATTTTTTGTGGTTTTAGTAAATCTAAAGTTTCTTTAAATTAGTTCTGTTCATATTTGGCCATTTTATATGTTTCTTTAAATCGTATCTTAAGTAAGGAAATAATGGTAAATAAAACATTTTAAAAAATAAACATTTAAAAATGAATTCTGGGCTAGGACAGTGCATCACGCAATTGTTCCTGGATGAACAGCTGCGTCACGCAACTGT